ATTTTAAGAAAAAAGTCAGAATGCTGAGATTTAAGTTAGAATTTTAAGAAAAAAGTCAGAATTCTGAGATTAAAGTCAGAATGCTGACTTTTTTCCCATATTAAACTGAAATAATATTGAAAAATGAGTTAACTTTTTTTTTATTTTCTCCAGACGCCATAATCATCAAATCCGTAGATTTGTTAGTATATCTATGGTTAAAAAATTAGCAGGCTTTTTTTAAACCATTTTAGCCAAGATGATGAAGGGTCATTGTTGAGAATCTAAAGAGTCACTTTAGTTTGATAATCAAACCTGTCAAAGAGTCTAGGAAATGTACCATTACATTATATAACAAAATATAACATTTCCAGATTATTTCTATTTTATTTATCTATTTATTCTCCTTATATCTGGGAGGCCAAAAATGTGCAGAAAACATTACTTTACTTTGAAAAAGTTGAACAAGGCGTCCCAAAAGTCATTGAACTGTGATTGGCTGAGCGGCAATAAGTGGGCGGAATTATAGAACAGTAAGGACCAATTGCGTTGAGCCCTCGAGCCCATACTAAAAGTAAACAGACTTGTTTTGATCTGTCAGAAAAAGAAAAACAGACAGCTCTCCTATCTGGAAGCAGGTATTTCTTTTGGTCCTAGCTGTGATTTTAGAGGGATTTTATATTTAAAGAAACGACGACATTTATCGAATATTATTCCTGTTGCATTTTTGTGCCTTTTTTAAACATTCCGTTACAGCAGCTAACCTATTTTAGCTTAACACCTATCTACTAGCTTAGCAGGAGGAAAACAACTAACAGCTTGACGATAGGATGTAAGAAACGTTTTTAGATGTTCGTGTTTTTAGCAGCTTTGTATTTCAAACAGGGAATCGCCATGTAAACGTGTCGCCATGAATGTGAAAGCTGAAAAAGCAGCTTCCTCTGTGGCTAACTGAAGCCTTTCCTCCTGGTTGTTAGCAGTCAGACAGCGGATGATGGTGCTGCCAGGCAGTTAAACCCCCCCGGCGGGATGAAGCCTGAAGGACAGCGCTTTGACATGGAGGGACAGCAGCTGGTTGGCTCCATCAAACAGCCGGGCCGCCTGGATCGACAGGTGTTCAGGTGTAGGAGCCACTTCCCCGGCCTGATGGACGGCATGCAGACCCTCAGACAGAGCGGAACCCTGTTCGATGTGGTTCTGCTGGTGGAGGGTCGCTCCATCCAAGCCCACCGCGTCCTGCTGGCCGCCTCCTGTCATTATTTTAGGTACACACAATTTCATCTTTAGCTAAAGTTTTTCTTTCGTTTTCAAATTGATTCAGTTAATTTTTGATAGATGTCACGCGAGAGAAATAGTTAGGTACTTTCCTTGAACTTTTAGTTTCATTATTTTAAAAACGTCAATGCAGACCAGGGGAGGATCTAGGATTTGAGTGGATCAGGGGCTTAGCCCTGAGGGGGAAGATTAGGGTGTAGATTTTCAGGTAAATCCCGTTCTAATCTAACAGATTACTAGATTAAAGACATTTCTAGTATTCTACATGCATCACACATAACAATTCCCCTCTGTAACATGGGAAGAAATTATTTTAACTGCAAGTCTTTAACTGTGTTTGTTCCTCTCTTCATCAAGATCAAATCCCATGATTTTGGTAGCATTTGTTAGCCTGATGAAACAGACTAGATGTGAAATTAAATGTGTGATTTAGTCTGGCCCTGATGAAAGAGACATGGGAAGATTGTTGATCAGAACTGTCGATAAAACAGCGAATACGTTCTTCTTAAAAATGAATGAGCGTAGAGCCTCTTCCAGCTCACGTTTCAATGAAAACCCCAAGTCTAATCCTTCCAAAACTGATTCCAAAGCTGAGTCAAACGAGAACTGTTCAATAGTTGCTGCCATCTTCCTTGTTGTGCTTTCTTGTCACGCCCTCAAAACCCCGCCGGCTTTGCATCCAGAAATTCAAAACACTCTCTCTGCGTTGTGATTGGCCAGCCAGTTCTAGGGCCTGAAGCATTGTTCGAGGCAAGACCCACTCGCAGGCAAAAAAGATTTTGGCTGCTGGTGGGTGGGGCTGGTTTATTAGGCTAAGCATTTGTTCCTTATTTGCCAGGGTTAAGGGGGCACCAAATATTTTTTTGAAATAATCCGTTCCCCCTCCATAACATGGGATTAAATACATGTACCTGCAACTCTTTAACTGTGTTTATTCCTCTCTTCATCAACAACAAACTCTGTGGATGTGGGTACATTTGATGATTATTTGCCAGTTATGAGAGTGAAATCTAATATTTTAGCCACCTGATATAATCCGTTCCCCCCATAACATGGGGATCAGATAAGTGGGTAATGAGAACTGGCTGGAGCTAAGCAGGTGTGTGAAATGAGTAATCAGCCCAGGCATTATTGCCAAGTTCATGACACAGTCTCCTATTGTACAGAATATGGCTACACTGATGCAACTCCACTTTCATCCGTTGTTCAGGAAAACACTGGATTATTTATCCTCCGCATCCTCAACCTTTCCAGTACTGAACATTTTAATCAGCTCAGAGGCAAGATCCGGGGCTCTTTGGGAAACATCCAGGGCTGTAGCCCAAGTAACCGTCCCCTAAACCGCCACTGATGCAGACCCAATTCTTGAGTTTTTATAGAAATAGAGCTGCTAGGATATTGAAATGATTTATTTTAAGAGTTTTTCAAATTGGATTAAAAAATGCATGATGCAAGCTGATCGGATGTTACAAATATCTGCAGTCTGACATCATTAAATTTAGCAACATGGTGCAGAGTCCAGTTTGAGCAATTCTTCTCAGCACATCCCAGGGCATCATATCAACCTTGCCATATGATAAACACATGAACATTTAGGCGCTGTCCTCTTCCAACCTGGGATTTATAAAGGTTTTTTATGGATTGAAATAGTTTTCCTTTGCTTAGATTGAACTCAAAGATGTTAAAAAATGCATCTATGTTAGAAAATAACAACTGTACAGATTCAGATTAATATTTTAATGTTTTTTTTTTTGCCTTGTAAAAGTTGGAAGCTGAAGATTTAATTTCAACCTTTTTTTTCAGGTGAAATGTTATTTTTTTCCTGTATAAATCAGCTGAAAAACAAGTTGATCAGAGCAGGATTTTTGGGTTAAACGAATAAACCTCAACCCTGACTTTGCTGTACCATGAACCTGGATTCATTCCTAGCGAGGCTAGTTACCATGGTAACGTCTCTAAACAAAACCTGCGTCATGGTAGGCTAACTTTCAGGATTGATCTGAATCCTTGTAAAACGCTCCATCCAGCAGCCAATCAGCTGATCGGGAAACAATGAGCTGGTCCTTCATCGAAAACCCCATTTAATTCACATTAAAATAACTTAAAAATCAAATAACAGTAAAACTGAACTTAATTAAAGTTGAACTTAAAAAATAAATGTTCTTGAAAAATGTAGTATACTTTTAAATTATTCTTCCCTCCTTTTTGACATACAATTTTATTGTATATGTTTTCCCCTGTAATGCACTTGTTTATTTTATAATTGATATATGAAGCTAAAAAAAAAAAGAAAAATATATAAACAGAGGGATAATTCTGAGAAGATCATTTGGATCACTATGAAAATTACTTGTATAAGTGATAAAGGTTTAAATAAGCCAGACTGGTGTATATGCAAGATACTGGAACCAAAAATATATGAATATATATATATTTTTACAATTTTAGCATAATTACTGCTCTAAGTGGGTTTCTCTGTCAGCTAAAGGTATGTTTTAGAGTCTCTATACTTCAGTTAACAATTAATCTATTACTAAATTAGTTGATAATTAGTTCAATAATCAGTTAATCTGGATTAATCCGATTAATTGTTTCAGCCCTAGTTGCCACCGAGTTTCCCTGTTGATATAGAGTTCTCATGAGCAGAGTGTCTTTATACCCATTTGCACTAATGGCATAAATGTTCCAGTTTAAATTCAGCATTCAACATCACATTCGCGCACATCTTTTTTGGATTTTTCTTGGGTGTTTTCTTAAGAGAAAAATGCAGAATGATGTTTTGCAGCTCTGCTCTTAAGTCCAGACTCATGGGGAACACAGGATATTGCTGTTAGAGGTGGTTGACCTCTTAGCATCCGTCCTCACTAGCTTCTATTTTTTCTGTCTTATTATTTTCGGTTAATTTTCCACTTACATAAACCTGCCTTTTTAATAGAGTTTTGACACTTTATTAATTTCCCCTCATTTAATAAATGCCTGTAATGCAGCAATGAAACTATTCCTATAGTTTATGGGAAGCTTTATATTTGCTTTCACTGGTATTTTTTATCATTGGTGATCAGCTCCATGTCTTCCAATTCAGGACTTGTTACCATCATCCTAATCTGTAGTTCGCTCCAAAGACTCTCTGTCCGAATAAATTTGGGACTCTGAGTTAGCGTGTCTGTGATGCCCTGTACCTCTTGGATGGGCAGGCATGTTGGAATCTTTAATGACATTTAAAGCTTTGTTGAGCGAACTACTTTTAGTTCTAAAAATCCAAGCATATGTTGGTAAAGATTCTCACTAATCCAGGTCATAATCATTCCAAAAAAGTAAAAAAAAACAAAAAAAACAATCCACTGGAGTTGGGTTCCAGTTCAAATACCAACTGAAATGTCTTCAAACTTGGAAACCAAGCCCAGTGGTTGTTTTTTTTTTACTTTTTTGAAAAATCCAAGCAATTAAAATCTTTTTCTAAAAGTTGTCATGAACCGAGGACAGATGGACACATTATTCAAGGAGAGACAGCCAGTAGGAAAGTTCAAAACGTTTATTAAAGGCTCAGTGGAAGAGGGTAGTCGAGACAGGGCGTTGAACCAGAACTTGATGCAGGACTTTAAACTGGTCTCCTCCCTGGAGCCAGGCAAACTGAGATAAAAACTGAACCTCCACACATATTGAGCCAAAAACCCAGAGGACTCTGCGGGGGAGGAACAGTGGACGATCAGGAGACGAGACAAACACAAAAACCCTCTTTCCACTGGCTGCCAGGATCCAGGACATGAACCATGAAATAAAACTGAACAGACAGACAAAAACAAATAATAATCTGGCACTGAATGCTCAGGCTGAACCGAATATAACCCAGAGGAAACAGGTGAGAGGAATAAATTATAATTGAGGCAGGGAGGGAAAACGACAGGTGAAAGAAATATCCAATTAAGGAGGAGCAAACAGGCCAGATCATGTCAAAAGTAGCAAATGCCAATCCTTAAACTGACTGTCAATCCTAGTGAATTGGTTGGAGATCTTAGTCTAACAGTATGAGTGAACATCAGATCAGATTCAGCGGTTATTGAGTCCGTCTTTCAGTTTATCCCTTATTCTAAAGTGAATAACTGATAATATTGCTTGAATCCTGGACTACACTAAAAACAGGGAGCTGTATCACAGTCAGTGTCATTATAAATTAGTGTCTACTTCATTGAAAAGTAGTAACAAACAGTCTGACTTATTTCTAGATCGTTATTGCAGTGTAGTGAACACATAATATTCAGAACACACATAAACTATAAGTGGCAACAGAATAATTGAACCGATCTAATCTCCATATATTCATGACAGAGTTTTACAAAATGTACCGCAATATTGCACCATTTAGACATAAATACCATATAATATAACGCCATAAAGCACAACATAAATACACATATCCCAAAAAGTATTTACACCACTGCAGCCATTTTTAAATCACAGTGTACAAGGATAACAAGGAGGACTTCGTTCAAATTTCACATACTAAATAAAAAATGGCAGCAGCAGTAAGATTTCTTACCGGCTTCCTCTTCAGTTTTTTGACATGGTTCCTCAATTCTCTGCAATTAGTTTGCAGCAAGAATCTCTTACACAACTTGCAAGATTAACAGCTGCCTTCCTAGGTGCATTTTATGCCTTTACCCACACACCAATAGCCCCGTCCTGGCCTGCCACCAATTAGCAGGTCAGTGCAACAATAATAAAAGATGAGAAGAAAGTGAAACATCATTTTTAAGGTACATAGATGTAGAACTATCATTAAAAGACAGGGTATGTCACTCAGACTTGCTGTCAGACTATCTGCTGCTTGGCTTCAATCAAGTAGAGGCTAACTGTGATATAGCGCCCTGTTTTCAATGAAGTCCAGCAATTTAACGTGTTTCTTAAAAGTTAACCAGATGGAACAAATTTGTTTCTAATAAACCATTAGCCTACTGTGAATCATAAGTCGATTATTTGTTTATATCCCTTCCAGAGTTATGTAGAGGAACTGGCTGCTGGCTGGAAGCAGCCCATTTTAATTAGGAGGTTTAAGTCTAAAAAAACTGATCTTTTACCAATCGTTGATTGCAGGACAGCGGAGCAAGTTAAACTCTAATGACTCCTTAGCGTGGAACGTTCTATAGTAGCCGTTTCCACTACTAGTGAGAGGATCAACATGACGCCAGAGGATAAGATAAAAGAAGGAAGCTGTATTTTCTCTGACATGTCAGACAGAGAGACTGAACACAGAGCAGGAAATGTCCTGTTTTCTAGCCTGGTTTGCTTTTAACTTCAGTCTTTGGGAGTGTTGTAATCCTAGCCTTGCTCATCTGCAGAATTAGACGGATCACTGCACCTCTAAACAAAACTGGAGCTATTAAAAGCTGACATATCTGGCAGCTGGAATGAACAAGAACTTATGTGCAGTTTGACTTTTAGCTGATTTGCATGTTTAGCATTCACATTTTATCTAGCCAACAAACCAGCTTATTCTTACATTCATCTTATTTCTGCTGCTCTAACCCACTAGAAGCATAAGTACTTTACAACCCAAACAGGTTCTCGCATCAAAATATATTTCATAGATTGGAATAAATCAGAGAAGGTCAATTGAAATAAATCTGATTTAGTTAATTGATTGATTGAACTCAAACAGCATCTGGGCCTGTGCTTTAAACTTTCTCCACTAGGGGCATGTTCACTGGAGGCCTGCGGGAAACGCAGCAGACAGAGATTCCTATTCACGGAGTATCCTACACCGCCATGAAGAAGATCCTGGACTATATCTACACCTCAGAGATCGAGTTGGACCTGGAGAACGTTCAGGAAATCCTGATAGCTGCGACGCTCTTCCAGGTAAGCCGGGTCCAGTCTGTCAGGACCACTGATCTCTTTTTATTCACTAGATTGCTGATAGCATGTTGGTAGTACTGGGTTGAAGTGAAGCCACCGGCCCCCATATTGGTACTCCCTAGTTAGAATTTTTTTTTTTTTTTTAATAAGATCTATGCCAAAATCATCCGTATTAAGACAATAAAAGACCTGAAATATTTCAGTAAGTGTGTAATGAATCTAAAATATATGAATGTTCAAGTTTTATCATTACATTATGGGAAATAATGAACTTTATCGCAATATGCTAATATTCTGAGAAGGACCGGTATGTGCGCTACAGCATTGAAGAACGAAGATGTTCTCATTTTCAGGGGGACTTGAGACTTTTACAATAAAGATAAATTCATCACCTTGACACACACTGGCTGTTTCATAGCATAAGTAGATTACTGTAACTTATAATAAACAAAAAAAAGGCACATCCCATTGAATAGTCAGTATGAAGTCTCTAAATTATGTAATATAACATATACAAATCAATCACAATAAAATTAATGTGTTAACGGAGCATAATAATACAGATGTGTAAAGTGCTAAATTGGATGTATATGTGTATATATATATATATATATAT